GTTGTTCGTGACCAAACAGAGAAAATGCTGCAAAATATTGGATGCTATATATGAAAATTTGAAATACTGCATTTCCCTAAGGACAGACACTTTTTAAAAAAACCAAGTATGCAACCTTTTCCATTCCTCAAGCCAGGTGACTCTATAGGTAAACTCAACCCGGAAAATTTGCTTCCCTGCATGAAGAAAGGATGCTTTTGGGAAGGGTCTCTTGACCTCCTCTCACTCTCCTTTTACCCCAGGCAGGGAAGCTCTTCTGTTCATTACTAGCTTTAGCTGGGCAAAGCCATTCCAGAAATTCAAGTGAAGAAATATTTTTGTTAATGAATACAGAATAACAAATGTGTAGCCATCAAAATGGGTTTGTTCAACATTTACAAAATATGTGACAAAATTAAGGTAGGAAGAAGATGGCATAGGCTCCCTGTATCTCCTTTCCTCACACCACCCCCTTCCTTCTGTCCTGTCTCGGAGCCTCTTCTTCCTCCCGCTGCCATCAGATGCTTCCTCCCCTCTCGGCTTCCTCCTCACTGCTCTTCTCCCTCCTCTTCGCTACCAGTGAGTGAACACTGGCTGCTGGAAACCACACGTAAACACAGACCATTTTTCTTTTTACCAAAGAAACCAAATGTGGCAGCTAATTTGTTGCTTTATCTCTTGCATATATGTGTAGCACACATTTTTCCTTTCATGGAGAGATATTTTAGTATCTGGGAGAAAAGTTTTAATGGTTAAAAACTTATAAGGATGACTACAGGGGGTTATGAGGGACTCTGAAATTAAATCGGAGCTGCATAATTACCAGAAAGGAAGAGGTAAAGGGAAAAATTAAAATATAATGATAATGTCCTCTGAATAGACATCTGGAATAGAATAGAATAGAATAGAATAGAATAGAATAGAATAGAATAGAATAGAATAAAATAGTATAGAATAGAATAATTTCCGTTGGATGGGACCTGCAACAATCATCTAGTCCAAGTGCCTGACCACTTCAGGGCTGATGTATTGCAAATGTTAAGGGAGGAAATGGGACTTGGCTTAAGGGGTCAGTGCAGGCAGGAGGAAAGGTTTGATTCTGCATACCAGTGGTACGAAGTATTCTGACTCATGGGGCCTCGATAAAGAGTAGTAAAATAGCACTGGACTCCAAATGAGAGGCTGATAGCACCTTGTGAAAGGCCAGGCTAGCCGCAAGGAGTGGTTGGCATTTCAGTCTCTTTAAATACTCAGATGTGAAAGACCCACACAAGACTTAAAATTATTTCGGAAATCTAAGTTTATGACCAGACACTGGGAAAAACAGTTTCTGTCCTTTTTTCCCCATTTATAGTCATTTATGAAAAGAAGATTTTTCTCGCTTCCCTGCTGGCTACTGCAAGCTGAATGTGGAGTGGGGCACCCTGGTGTGACATTCAAGCTAATTTCCACGGAAAAGGGAGAGTTATTGTTTTCTTGTGCAATACAAGGTACAGTTCTTGGAATGCCCATTTTTTTCATTATTCAAAATCAGATTTGATCGCAGAGGAGGTCAGCGCTGGTACGGGTGTGTTCTGCAGTGGAGCAGGGGATCGTGGCATGCAAGGGGGTTCCTGAGCTGGGAAAACCCCAGGGGAGCGCAGAGACCCACCAGGAGCTGGCAGCTCTCATGAGGAGGGTGTGCAGGGAGGGGGCCTCTTCAAAGGAGGGGCATTCTGCTGGCTGAGTGGGAGACTTGAAGTACACGTAACTCAGCAGCCGGGCACCGTCCTGTGACTGTCAGCACAGGTCAAGGGCACTCATCCTGCCTGACCCCCAAGGCAGAATGGCGGGGACTCCTCCAAGAGCAAAGGCTGCAGCTCTGGCTGGGGGGGCTGGGCCGTCTACCCCCACCGGGGCCGGAGGGCGCACTGTGTAACACCAGGGAGGCTGAGAAGGAGTCAGATAGCTGGTTCTGAGCACAGTCTGCAGTGGTCCCACACCCATGGCCAAACAGCCAAACCCCCCCACAGCACACACAGAAGGGAATGGGGCCAATAATGCAGAGGAATGGACGGTTGCAATGGCAAGGACCAGCAGGAGGCAGAGACTTCCCCCAAAGCCTGAGGCACCCTTGCAGAACCGCTTCTCCGCTCTGCAGACTGCAGAGGAAAGACCCATCACACCAGGACTGACGCTGGAGCTGGGTCAGGCAGCCCCATCTGCTCCCTGTACAGCAACCAGCACAAGTAAGGAACAGCGATGGGTGGCAGGGGTAGGCGATTCTTCTGAGAGGTACGGAGGTGCCCATTGCCGCCCTGACGCCCTCTCTAGAGGTGTGCTGCTTCCCGGGGGCTCGTGTCAGGGGGGTCACCGAGAGACTGCCAGGCCTCCTACAGTCCAGTGACTACCATCTGCTGCTGCTGTTTCACATGGGCACCAGTGATGCAGCCAGGAGCAGCCTGAGGAGCACCAAGGAGGACTGCAGAGCCCTGGGAGCAGCAGTGAGGGACTCTGGAGCACAGGTGGGTTTTTCATCAATCCTCCTGGTCAAAGGGAAGTGGTTTGGAAGGGCCAGTCAAATCTGGAGAATCAACAAATGGTTACAGGAGTGGTGCCACAGCCAGGGGTTTGGCTACTTAGGCCATGAGACTTGCTTTGAGAACCCTGGTCTGCTGGGGGCTGATGGGTTCTGTCTGTCAGAGAAGGGGAAGAGCATCTTCGGTCATAGGCTTGCCAAGCTGGCGAAGAGGACTTCAAACTAAAGTTGCTGGGGGAGGGGAACCTCAATCCATCCCACTCCTACCAGTTTGATGCCAGTGCCAGCAATAGATGCCCAGAGCCTGGGGAAGGATCACAGGCCAGCAGGAGAGCGCCTGAAGAGCAGCACAAAGGATTCCAGCGACTCCAGCCAGTAAGTCAGCTCCATCAGGGGCCCAACTGCAATGCCTCTGTGCAAACACACACAGCATGGGGAATAAGCAAGAGGAGTTAGACACGTGTGCACACCTGCAGGGCTATGATCTTATTGGCATCATGGAGACATGGTGAGATGGATCCTCTATGACTGGAGTGTTGGAATGGAAGGATACAGGCTCTTCAGGAAGGACAGGCAGGGGAGATGAGGAGGGGGTGTCACCTGCTATGTCAATGACCAGCTGGAGTGCATGGAGATCCTCCTGGGGATGGATGAGGAGCCGACCAAGAGCTTACGGGTCAGGATTAAAGGGACAGGTGACATTATAGTGGTGGTCTGCTACAGGCCACCCACCCAGGAAGACTGAACGAATGAGGCCCTCTATAGACAGATAGGAGCAGCCTCATGTTCACAAGCTCTGGTCCTAATGGGTGACTTCAACCACCCTGGCATCTGGTAGAGGGACAGCACAGTAGAGCATAAGCAATCCAGGAGGTGCCTGGAATGCACTGATGATGTCAAGGATCGAGTGCACTCTCAGCAATTTTGCCAACAACACCAAGCTGAGTGGTGCTGTTGACACACTGGAGGGAAGGGATGCCATCCAGAGGGACCTTGACAGGCTTGAGAGGTAGGCCCGTGCGAACCTCATGAAGTTCAACAAGGCCAAGTGCAAGGACCTGCACATGGGTTGGGGCAACCCCTGGTAATGATACAGGCTGGGTGGAGAATGGATTGAGAGCAGCCCAGAGGAGAAGGACTTGGGCGTGTTGGTTGATTGGAAGATCAATGTGACCCAGCAATGTGTACTCGCAGCCCAGAAAGCCAACTTTATCCCAGACTGCATCAAAAACAGCATGGCGAGCAGGTCAAAGGAGGTGATTCTGCCCCTCTATTCCACTCTGTATTCAGCTCTGGGGCCCCCAACATAAGAAGGACGTGGACCTGTTGGAGGAAGTCCAGAGGAGGGCCACGAAGATGATCAGAGGGCTGGAGCACCTCTCCTATGAGGACAGGCTAAGAGAGTTGGGCTTGTTCAGCCTGGAGAAGAGAAGACCTTATTGCAGCCTTTCAGTACTTAAAGAGGGCTTATAAGAAACACTGAGAGACTTATTACCAGGGCCTGTAGTGACAGGACAAAGGACAATGGATTTAAACTGAAAGAGGGTTGATTTAGATTGGACCTAAGGAAGACAATTTTTTTAGGGTGAGGGTGGTGAGACACTGGAACAGGTTGGCCAGAGCAGTTGTGGCTGCCCCCTCCCTGGAAGTGTTCAAGGCCAGGTTGGATGGGGCTTTGCGCAACCTGATCTAGTGGAAGGTGTCCCTGCCCATGATCTTTAAAGGTCCATTCCAACCCAAACCATTCTATGATTCTACAAGATTTTCTTTTGCTAAGAACATAAAGTTCTGCAAACTACTCCATATAGCTCCAGCCACATCAATTTTCTTAGCCACCCCAAGAAGGACATATCTTATTTGACGTTAAATGCACCAAAATTGTGCAGTCAGCAGAGGATATCTTGCAGAGAAATGTTCCACTTTTATTACTTGCTATCACAGGTATCATCTGTTCTCTCAAAGCACTTCATTTATGAACTGACTCCAGAAAGCTATCATCTTACATGGGATGAAATGTCCCAAATGTCTGATCTGAGAAGTACCCAGGTGCTTTACAGGATGAGAGAACAACATTCAAAGGCAAATTAAAAAGTCAAACTGTGGGATCCTTTAGCTGCCACTTGACAACAATGCAGAGATGCTCTGATCAAAAGGTCATAGTCCAAACTCAGAGTAGTGTTTAATTATCCATTCTCCAACTGTGGATGGCATGTCCAACATTCTCCAGAGTAGCTTTTTGGGGTTTAGTTCTCTATTTGAAGAAAAGCTTCCTGAATATTCATGACTTTATTTTAGGAAAGAAAACTCTGTGTGAAAACTCTGCACTGGCAACAGATGCTGAGTTAACAGGTTGGTGTTTGCTGTCTACTTATGCAAAGAACAGGCAACCATTTTTCTTCAACTCTAGCTTAGAAACAGTGCCTGTGATCTAAGAGACTGCTCTATCAATGTCCATTTTACCCTCCGCTTCTCTGAGGGTATTTCCACAAAAAAATGGATTTGTGAAATATATCTGTTCATTCATTCTGAACAGATCTTGACCTGCCAGGCCCCAGTCCAGAAAGGATGCCTTCCCACCCATTTGCACTGGATCCAAGTCAGCAACCTAGAGGTCTATGTCTCAACCATTTCCATGTTGCTACTAAGAGACTTAGAAAAGGGGGAGGGAGGCCTGATGTGATTAGATTGTTGCTTTAGTGTTTAAATACCAGCGAAACACACACACAGCCCCAGCCATAAAGAGGCTTAGTCATGCACTTAACAGTGACACATGCAAAGGATCTCATCCTGCAAGCCGATCCAAAGTCAACTTGACAAAGAGAGCTTCTTCCTGAGAAGAGTTTGCTTTCTCCCTTTTAGGGGCTCCCCGCCGTTATCGTCGTCAGGCATCAAACATCGAGCTCTTTCACACTACCTCCTGCAGAACCTCCTTCTTGCTTTTATTATGTGTAGTTGCACAGTGCCTAAGCAGCAGGCCAGAGCTCCACACCTTCCCACCATTTTAGCTCTAACCAAATCTATGTGCATTCCTTATACATTTCCCAGGGTCATCATTTAGCTCATGGCTACTATCGGCTCAACTGCAGAGATGTCTGTCTTTCCTGGCTGGATGTTGGAGGCTGATGGAAGGACACGGGAAACCTGCAACCTCTTGAAGTTGCCGTTTTCTGGCCAAGCCAGTCGATAGGATGGAACTGTGGAGGGAAGCCTCTGTTCTTCAGGTCTAGGAGGTTTTCTGCACACACTGAGCAAAGCCTTCAGTTCTGATCGGAAGCTATCATTGAGCCAGCAGTAGATGAAGGGGTTGTAGCAGGTGCTGCTCATTGCGAACCAGTGAAAGGCAAAGTACAGGGCATTGTTGGTGTGGATGGTCTGGCTGGAGAGAAGGATGACGTAGCAATTTAAGGGAAACCAGCAGACTGCGAAGAGGACAACAACAAGCATCAGCATCTTTATGGTCTTCTTATTCTTTTTGCGAAGGGCAAAGTACTGCTCAGTGGTGACTTCCCCAATGACATTGCGGAGCCAGAGTTTCTTGGCCACTGTCACGTAGGCAGCAGAGATGATCAGAAGGGGCAGGACATAGAGCAAGATGAAGGTTGTTAAGTCAAGGTACTTCCAAAAGAGGTCAGCAGGCTCGGGGAAATCTGGCAGACACAGGCACCGGGTAACTTCCTCACTGCAAATGGAGATACCAGACAGGGGGTGAGAGCTCACACAGCCAGGCACCACGGGAGAAGTACATCAGAAACAAGGGGGCATGAGGAAGAGGGCTCCTGCCATAGAACCTGGAGGCAGACCCTTCATTTATGCACAGTAAAGTGGAGCTCTGCCGACCAAGGATTTGAGCCATGGAGCAGCCGGTGAGCAATTTGGTGATAATTTCTCATGGGCTTTCATGACCTTATGATCATTTTATGAATTTCATCAATGTGGTGGTTTCGGCTGTGATAGAGTTTAATTTTCTTCACAGTAGCTGGTATGGGGCTGTGGTTTGGATTTCTGCAGAAAACAGTGTTGATCACACAGGGATGGTTTCGTTACTGCTGAGCAGGGCTGACACAGAGTCAAGGCCTTTGCTGCTCCTCACCCCACCCCATCAGCGAGGAGGCTGGGGGGGCACAAGAAGCTGGGACGGGGCACAGCTGGGACAGCTGACCCCAACTGACCAAGGGGATATCCCACACCATATGACATTGCTCAGCATGTAAAGCTGGGGGAAGGAGAAGGAAGGGGGGGATGTTTGGAGTGATGGCGTTTGTCTTCCCAAGTGACTGTTACGCGTGATGGAGCCCTGCTTTCCTGGGGATGGCTGAGCCCCTGCCTGCCCATGGGAAGGGGTGAATGAATTCCTTGATTTGCTTTGCTTGCGCGCACGGCTTTTCTTTTCCCTATTAAACTGTCTTTATCTCAACCCATGAGTTTCTCACTTTTACCCTTCTAATTCTCTCCCCCATCCCACTGGGGGGGTGGGGGGGGAAAGTGAGTGAGTGGCTCTGTGGGGCTGAGTTGCTGGCTGGGATTAAACCAGGACAATCAATTACAAAATTTCCAGCTGCACAGAAGCAGGGTTTTATTCTTTGTCCTTTGGCAAACAGACACACAGTCTCTGCACATATCAGGGACTTTTCCCTCATTATAGCACTTTCCAAATATCAAGGCTTACACAGTATTTTTTGGATCAAGCAGCTGAGGCAGATTCTGTCACTATCCCAGAGCTGGTAGATTTTTTCCCCATTCCTGGCCTGCCCAAACAGGTGAGATTGGTACATCACGTAAAATGATGGCATATAGAAATAGAGGGCCCAGACCAGATCATCTAACTTCTTAGCCTATTTCATGGGATTAGTGTGACAGAATAAAGATAAAATAATTAAAAATAGAAACAAGAACAGAATATCAGGCATTGCAAAAGGGATCTGATGAAAATTATAGATTAGATCCATATTTGGCTGACCTCAGCACAAGTTCAGGGCTTTCAGTAGAAGACGTGAAAGTATGGCCACTGAGAGTTTGGCCTCCAGGGAGACTGCAGAGGAAAGCAAAGCATATCCTCACCTGTATTCAAAGGTAAAAAGTTTTTGGTAGATAGCATGTGGTAGGGAAAAACAAGTTGCCATGATCCAGATTACAGAGATGTAGATAACACCTTTTGCAGGAGATATGCGAGGTTTCAGAGGGTGCATTATAACCTGTGCAAAATAAACCAGTGTTCAGGCTTATGCCATATCAGGAAATAATTATATAATTTTTTTCATATAATCTTCCAGCCTTAAATCAGTTACCTAAAGTGGAAATTTAGCATGCAAGCAGTACTGTCTCCACCCAGCTCCCATTGGCTGTACATGAAAGCCTGAATCTTTCCACCATGGCAATGGGTAAAGTCAGATCCCAGTCCTGCCCTTTCATTTCAGTATTTGAGTCTAGGTGGGGAGAACTGGGTACCAGCAGGTCTTACACATATGTTCATTTCCAGGTTCAATTTACTTAATAGCAAAAAAAAACCCCAAAAAAAGTCTCAGACTCTTCAGTATCGGTGACCCAAAGAGACACGGGGTTGTGATTTTGTGATTGAATTAGACCTCCCTGGGGATGCTTATGACAGCATTTTCTGGAAACTTAGGAGCTTTCTAGCAGAAAATGTCAACTGCACCACTCTGTTTTGCATGGTTGTTGGGTGACTCCAAACTGATAATGCCTGACTGTCCCCAGTTTAGAGCCCATTATCAACAGCAAGCCACAACTCTGCTTGTGACAGACACAAGTATGGTACAGTCAGCTCTCCAGTATTCAGGGTAACAAGGGGTGAGACATCCCAGAGCAAAGGAAGATGGAGCTGTGGAAGCTAACCAGGATGCCCCTGCATCCACCGCGCTCTTCCTCCATGGGCCAGAAAAACCTCCCCAGCAGGGGGTTGTCCACATGAATTCCTATCAGGATCTTGGACTTTCTCCTCATTTGAGAGCTACTGGATTACCCACTGCAGAAAAACTCACGTTCCCCAGTTGGAAGTGATCACAGGGCAATGGACATGTCCAGTCTCTCACCTTGCTGTGGGCTTGAAACTATTCTTTCCATCTGCCAGCAAGAACTGCTCCCCTACCCTGTCAGCTCCTCATGCATCTTACAGTAACCTGGGAGCTGAGGAGGAAAGGATATGGGATCATCCTTTTTTATTTTAATGATGCCCTCCCAAGCTTTCCAGCTGTCTGCTTCAGGGAGCTCTCACCTGGTGCCTGTCCATGGCAATGGCTGTGAGGGTCAAGGCAGAGACGTGGAGGGAGCAATACTGCGCAAACCTACTGACGTGGCACATCCCCTTCCCAAATATCCAGGTACTGTTCACAAAACGAGCCTAAAACCAGAACACCATCAGTTTTGTGCACACACACCCCCTCCCCCAACACCTCCACATGCTTATAGATATCTGAGACACCTCTGGCACATAATTCCTTGTGCTGTGTAAAAGATATTTTTTAAATAGTGGATTCTTTGTATAATTGTATAATTTTCTGGCTTCTGAATCCTGAAGAGGCAGGTTAGTGCTGCTCAGTGGCCCAGCAATATCCTCCAGGACAACACAGCAGAGCAGTACTAAAGATGTTTGTTCTGTTTTATTCATGGGATGTCCTTCTGCAGTCTAACTATTGAGTCAATACATTCATTTTTCCTTTTTAGGCCCTCCGTACAGGATAGGGCTGACCTGATCTTACTTCAAAGCGAACTACAGCTTTTCAACGGAGCTTGTAAAATGATGGTGAGCATTAATCTTTTTTTCAAGAGGTTCATAGTATTATCATGGAAATACTTCAGAGAAGGGATGGAAAAAAAAAGACCAGATACCATAAAGTACTAAGTAATCACTGCGAGGTTATTATTGTCCTAGTGCTATCAGGGCCACTTTTAACAAATGGATAATTTCAGATCTCCAACCAGATAATAGGTATTGGAGAAGAAAGAAGCATGTGGAGTTTTCCAAAGATAACACCCGTTGCCGTAATTTGGCCTGGACAGGTATCTGCAGGACATTCATGCACTGCCTATAGCGGCGTAAAGAATAGGCCACCGAAGTAACTGCGATGCCTTTACGGCACCTCTGCCCCAGTCTTACCAGTGTAAAAGGCGTGTTGAGAAGTGTGATCATGATATCAGCTACAGCCAGGTTGACAATGAACAAGCTGGTGGCGGAGTGCATGCGCTTGGTCTTGATGACAACATGACAGACCAGGCCGTTGCCGAAGAGGGAGAAGACGATGATGAAGGAGTACGCTGCGACGAGCAGGGCTTTCACCGGGATGCTCTGAGACTCCACTCCGTACCTGCTCCTGCCCACAAAGCTCTGCCAGTCGGCCAGGCTGTCATTATCCCAGGGAAAGGAACCTGAGATGTTCGGGATTACAAAAGTCTTCTCCAGGGTCCCGTTGAGGGGCAACTTTCCTGGGGTCGCAAAGGCATTAACCAAGCCGGGGAGGGAGAGCCAGACAAAACAGGACAACATCTCCAAAATGCCGCTCTGCTCCTCTAATTTGGAGACAGCTCATTTGCGAGCGAGCAGAGCTCACACCGTGTGCCGGGAGAGCTCAGCCCCGGCGCGATCGGAGGCTGCAAACATGACGCGCAAGCAGCTGGAGCGGGTGGGTGCTCCTGCCTCCCGCAGCGTGCTTCTCTCCTGATCGGCTCGCCGCTACTTTTGCTCCTTCAGCCAGTTTTATACCCCCAGGAGAGCTCCCAGCTGGAATCTTCTGCAGCCATTGGGCTGCATGACATTATTTCTGCTCTGACGTGCTGCTTTTCCATGCAGTCACACTCCCCCGGGCGCTACTCCAAGATAAGCACATCTCTGAGAAAGGCAAATCAATCCCTCCAGTCGTCAGCATCCTTTTTCTCTACCAGCAGCCCAGCTCATGCGAATTCTGTGCTCTTTATAAACCTGCAGTGTGTTGTGGCAGCTCTGCTCTCTTCCAGGACACAGTTCAAATTTAAGCTCAGTTTTAAAGGTCTGGCAGGCAAGTTTCAGCCTATACCCTGGAGGTATTTAAAAGCCGGGCAGACAAGGTGCTTAGGGACAGGGCTTAGTGGTGGGATGGCAGGGTTAGGTTAACAGTTGGACTTGATGGTCTTAAAGGTCTTTTCCAACCTAAACGATTCTACGATTCTATTTCACAGCATGACACAATAATTAGCATAGAACAGGGGGGTAACAGATGAACTGTGACTAACGAGCCAGCTTACTATATTTGCAATATTTTTCCAAAAGCTTTTTTTCCCTCAGAGAGACAGAGAAGTACTTAAGCTTTCCCTTGGCAGGAATTTCCTCTTGGCCTAGGGGATAAACAGTTTTATGTGGAACTGTGCTTTCCAGGGTTTGTAGAAATACAGAGGTTGTTACAAAGAGGTGATTATATGGTACAGGTGACAGAAGGGGATGTCCCAACCCCGTGAGTCCAGTATCCAAAGCAACAGGTGGCCATACGCTGGACCCAAGCACTGATGAGACAGCAGCATGTGTGTTCCCTGGGCCTTCTCCCCAAAAACACAGAAGGAAATCTAAAATCAGTATCAGGAGACCAAGAGCCACAAGTCCTACACAGCACACATGACAAGATCCACAAATCCCTCCACGAGTGCACATGTGAGGTGCTGCCCCTCTGCTGGGGACAGATCTGCTCGGGTGGTGTCCACTAACCCCGGTCAGAGCAGGCTTGGTACATAAAATGCTTTAGTTAGCCATCAATTAAAAGACCATTATCTGAAAAGCTTAGCTTATAAGTTGGCTGCTCATTGGTGACAATAACACTTCCAGAAGATGCTTGTGAGTCCCCCTGCGAACCACTCAGGCCGCTTTCTCCTCACCGCTGCTCAGGAGTGGAACACAGCAGGACAGGCGGCACGGCCAGCCCACAGCGCTCATCTGCAAGCTGCTGCCAGCCTCTATTTCTTCCTCAGAATTGTCCAGCTTGAGCTCTTTTGGCAGTTTGCCTGTCTCAGAGGAAGCTTTCCAGCGAACCTGCTGGAGCTGCTAAGGTGGCAGACACCTGTGACCATTCAGAGAGAAGGAATCTGCGCCCAGCTCAGAAGCGCTTGGCCAGTGAGGATGCCCCCAAGCTGACGCTGCCAGGAAAACACACAGAGTCTCACAATGTAACACAAAGGCCAGGGAAATGGCAGAACGGGGGACAGGGCAGCGTTCTGCTGTGGGTCTGAGGTGAGAATGGAGTGGTTGGTGGTGCATGTCCCCCTTCTTGCTGGGCTGCTCCAGCAGCTCCCAAGTCCCTCTCCTTTTCAGTGCTGCTGGCCAATGCGTAAGGGTATTCTCTCTTCTGATGCTCAGCTCCAGTTCTTCTTCCACATCTACCAGATTCTGTTCCCCTGTACCATAATCCATACAGCAAAAATGATCAGTTTTGTCTTTTTACCCCCCTTGACCTAATTCTTCAACTCTACCAGGGTACCCTTGCCTGTGTAGCCAGAGCCCCCACTGCCTTAGGAGACCAGGTGCTTCCAGGCAGCCTTCTCCTTACCTCCTCCACTAGGCTGCGGGGGGAAAGATGGGAATCTCCTCCCACGTAGCCCAAGCCCACGCTCCTCCAAGCTGGACTCAGTGTCTTAGAATCATAGAATCGTTTAGGTTGGAAAAAGCTATTAAACAAGACTGGCCCCAGAACTGAGCCCTGGGGAACACCGCTTGTGACCAGCCGCCAACTGGATTTAACCCCTTTGACCACAACTCTCTGGGCCTGGTCATCCAGCCAGTTTTTTACCCAGTGAAGAGTACCCCTGTCTAAGCCATGAGCTGCCAGCTTCTTTAGGAGAATGCTGTGGGAGACAGTGTCAAAGGCTTTGCTGAAGTCCAGGTAGAGAACATCCACAGCCTTTCCCTCATCCACCAGGTGGAACACCTGGTCACTCTTCCCTAAGCCTGTAGCATTGCATGGGGTTGTTTGGGTCTTGTGACCCAAAAGAGAGGTCCCAGCACACACTGGGCAGGCCCACCCAAAATACCCATAAAGAGTCTCAGAACAAGCCCAGTGGAAGCTCCCTGTGTCACCTGTGTGCCCTTCTCTGCCTCACATCACCCTTCCAGTTCAATTTGTACTTAAACACACCCCGGTATGAACCTCTCACCTACGCGTGGTTGTGACCAGAGAACAAGCTGTAGTAGATTTGTCTGCCCGCTGCCTGTTCCCGCCGACTTCACCCTTGCTCCACCATCCCCAGCACTCACCGACAGGAAAGGAAGCACCCGCACAGGAATGTCAGGGTTTGGTACGTTGTGTCTTGGTTTTGTAAAAGGTATCTGTGAAATGATGTAATTTATAAAGTGAAAAGTATTTAGAAAATGTTTGAAATACAGCTGTACAGCTCATGAATTCAGGTAATCAAAAAAAAAAGTCATTAAAAAACATCTATGCAATAGCAGTCAACAAAATTGTAATAAATTAGAAAACAGGCCTGGTGGAAAAAAAGGAATATAAAAAAAAATTACCCAGACACACTAAAAAATGCCATTTGGAAGCATTCAGAAAAATAAATAATGTCTTTTTTTTCTTTTTAAATACACAGCAGAGTGCACATCCCTGGGAACAATCTTTCACTATTGTGGCTTTGCTGAATTTTTGAGCTCTCCTGGGGCAGGTGGATGAGAAGTTACACAAGAAGTGACTTTTCAAAACCTATCCAGTCTGATCTCTGAGAAGTAATGGTGATTTTCTGAGCATCCTACCCCCCTGTATAACAAATCACAGCAACGATTAGAAGCCCCTGAAGTGAAGGATGCCATGTTCAGCTTCTATAGAAGACAATCCAAGAACCGCTGCAGTTTAACACTATACACAAAGCCGCTGTGAATTTGATAGCTGACTGAAAAAAAAATGTGAAAAAGGTAGAAAGAGCCTTTGATAGAATTCCCATTAATCCTGCATACTTTGCTAAAATCTTTGCCTAGGATGGGCCTGCAACATTAAATGATAGAGTCCCATTAAGACCTTAGTGAAACAATAAACCTGACAATTTAAGTCATAACAAAACAGGTTTAATTGGGTGTGGTGGGTTGCCAGCTGCCCACCAAGCCGCTCGCTCCCCATCCTTAGCAGGACAGGAGGAGAAAACAAGATGCAAAACCCACGGATCAAGATAATGGAAAAAAGCAAAGGTCTTGTGTGAAAGCAAAGCAAAAAAAGATTGATTCTTTACGTCCCATCAGCAGGCAACACCCAGCCACCTCATAGTGTAGAGGTTGCTTTGGAAGACAAATGCCTGAATAACAAATGCAGTCCCCTTGCCTCCTCCTCGCCTTCAGCTTTTATTGCTGAGCATATCACACAGCAGGGAATAGCTGTGGCCAGTCGGGGTCAGCTGTCCTGGCTGTGTCCCCTCCCTGGCCTTTGCGGGGGCACTGGTGCGGCATCAGCTGCTCCGCAGCAGCCGCAAGGCTGGCGAGGGATCAGCACCTTGGTAGCTACAAACGTGGAGCCCAGGGAAAGGTAACTCCACCCCAGCCAGACCCACCACCTGCGGATAGTGACATAAAGCGGCAAAGTGTTTTGAAAATTTCAGTCCCTCAGATTTAATGTAGTCCATACAACTAACATTCACGATTTACTTAACAGAAATAGTTTATTTAAAAAAAGAAAAATATCTAAACCCTCATCTTGAAGGGTATTTACAGCAGCTTTCTAATTGCATAGGTAATACTATAGCTTTGACAGCCTTTAATGAAAGGAAAGAGCCAGACTACCAAATTATTTGCTGATACCTTAAGTGAGCGCAGTGCTTTGTAAGTTGCTACTAAGCTCTACACTAGAAATCTGCAGGTCTCAATCATTTTTACGGATGTCTTCAGGAAGCTCAAGGCTTATTTAGGTTCCCTGCTACAGCATATATGCAGGCAAAGTAGCAACAGTCATGTTCAGCGAGAGCCAGAGAAACACAACTGCCCACTCCCATCTCTTTGAAGGAGAAAGTAAAAATGCAAAGGCACGGCTGCAGCTACTCAGCATATTCTTCTCCAACACGCTGGGGCGTTAGCTGATGGACTCTTCTGGCCTTTTCCTTGATTAGCTCCAATGGCCAACAGCGATTTTTGGGGAGCAGGCCGTACAGAGGGGGAAAGCGAGGAGGAGGAATAGGTCTAGGTCTTGGCTCCTTCAACAGAAGCAGTGGTTCCCCCACTGTGCATACAACACTGTATTTTAAAATCCTCATTTGGAGAATATTTGGAAAATAGCGATGACATTTTAGGAGGGTTACTGAACCAGTGGACTGAAGAAACAGATACCTGAAAAATGTCCACTAAGGAAAAGGTAAGAGGCAATGTCCTGCCCATTACTGGCTCAATTGCTTTACTCTTCAAGCAGCGACCTTGTGAAGCTGTAAGGCTCTAGCCCTTACGTCTTTCTCACAGGGTAAAAGCTGACAACGCAATTCAATCTGAAGTTTTTGGCACTTCTTGAATTACAGAGCAGCATTGCTGTATACTATGACGTTTAGTAACAGTGCAAGAGTGGGTTTAGTTCTTCTAGTAGAGTTGAAAGTATTAGAACATTTTCCAGCTTCAATACTGAAAATCATTTTTGGGTCAAACTATTACTCTTCGGAGTTTTCAACTGTATCTGTAGAAAATTGAAAATAAGTACCGAGTCCATACCCATATCCATGCTTGCATACTACTATAAATTTACACCTCTGCAAAATTCAAGACCAAGAAATGGAGTTTTTTTATAAAATATATGAGTGTCATTTACGTTATCAACCAGAAAGAAAACAGGCTTTTAGAAGTTTTAGAAAGAACTTGCAGTTTCAGGCAGTACTTCAGAATATTAAGACACTCTAATCTAATGCATCAAGCAATGCAATGCCCAAATTATACCAAATTTGTCACCACTGAAAAAAAAAATCCCAACCCAAAAACATTTCATAGAAGTGAAAACTAAAGGCAAGCCATCATTTACAGAGAAATGTCATATATAGAACGCCTTGTAAACTGTTTTCCACTTTCTCCACTAACTTTCACGGTCTCTCTTGTACAGTGAGCCAGAAATCACTTCGTTCTTCTTGACGTTGCAGTGCTTTTGAATGGATCAAATTCATCCTGCAAGTTGTAAACAGGTAGGCATTATTAGAACTAGCATGCATTCTGAGTCATAAAAAGCAAAGTCAACTTTAGATTAAATGAGAAAGCCTGGTCACATTATTTCAAGTTTTCTGACAGGTCTGGTATTGGTATGAAAGAGCTTATCCATTGATTTCAAAGTCCAGATCACAAATGAGCAGAGAACAGAAACTGAGTTTACGTCAGTATGATCAGAACAGCTACTCTGAAATCAGGAACAATCTGTATTTCAGGTGTGACCTAGGAAAATGGGCATTATGAGCAGCACATATCTCAGTGAAGTTATGCCCATATACATAGCACACATCATAATTTACTGAGATTTGCATGAATCAAAAACACTGTTTCTTTTTGCCTGCTCAAGCAAATGTAGTTTTGTGTTTCAGGTGGAAGAAGAAAAGACAGCATAGTGGAGAAGAGGGACAAGACTGTAACATTTTCTCTGAAGTGGCCAACATCTGACATTGTTAAGGCTAGGATCCTGACAATACATGACCGCCCGCTAGCCTGTGAAAACAAATTGCACAGTGGCTGAAAGCGTAACGTGTATTCTATACAGTGCAGAACTGTGAATAAAGATCTACTTGTTTATTTATGTAATAAACCACTTCCCAGCCATTCAAATATATACTGCAAGAACATCTTAAACTCGAAGATAGCGTTTTCATTTTTTTTTAAGTGTATTTACATAATTTGCAACAATAAAACAATAAAGAGGTCTGGAAAATAGCCATTTTAAAATGCAAAATAATATAATTCTTCCTTTTTAGAAGAATGAAGTACCTCAACAGTTTTGTGGGCATAGCCAAGCACTAGGAAGAGTTTATGATTACTTTCTTCCCCAGACAAAATAACCTATTCCAAATGTTTCAGGAATGACAATTAATTGATTAAGAATTGAAGGGAAAAAGGACTGGATAATTTCCTGAGGTCCCTTCTAGCCTTATTTTTGATGATTACATATATATTCTAAGTAAAGCTTGTGCAATAATCTAGCCCTGTTAATGAAAAAAACCCAAACCAATTTTACTCTGAAATGCTTTGTTCAGGTAGCTGTAAAACTGTAAGCTATAGAAACTTACACGAAATAAAAGAAAAAAAGACCACTATATACCATACCTCATCTGACTCAAAATCAACTCCTCTAGGTGTTTGGCTTTGTGAACCTCTTTTACTAAGTGAAGATGTAGTTGACAACCTTGAAACACACAAAGAAAAAATGTGTTCTCAATTACCACACATTCCAGTAACTTCCCCTTCAACTTAGATTTGGACCAGCAACACAGAGATTAAGAATGGACAGAAATAGCAATAAGCAGAACTATTCACATTCTCAAAATGACATTAATTCTAAAGCTCTGACCTAGCTTATCTCAATCAGTAGACCAATTTATTGTTACAGAAAGATCATCCACATCAGTAGGTAATAATTTATATGAATTCTCCCAGCAGTGTTACGACTTTCTTAAAAATCTGTTTTTTCAGGTAGTGGATCAGATCCCTGGACTCTGCTGATTGCCAGTCAGAAATAAGGCAGTCATGGTAGCATTCATGAAGTAAACATACCGACCTTTGCTTTGCTTTGGAAGAAGGAACAATAGAAATGTCTTCTAGATCAGAGTCATCATCTATAATATCCTGAAAAAATTATATAATTTATAAAGCTTTTTCACAGAATATATTCTTACTGCATATATTGTTATTGCATAATACTACAGTACTATAGCATAGAACCTTCACATTTTTTTCCAATATACCTACTTCCTTGTAATATACACTTGACAGGGCTCCAAGCTAGAACTGTCCAATAAATACAGCACAAGTTTTGCTCTTCAGATCTTGCAGAACCCCCCAAAATACTCATGTATATACACTCTGTATCTTAGACTACAGTCACAAATAAAACATGGTCTTGTTTTTCTCAGACAAATCCCATACAAAAAAGGGTACAAAAGGCCTACAAAAGAACTTGCAGAAACTTACTGCTGGAACTGATAGCTTGGGAACATCTGCTGGTTTAGGCTAATGTTTTTTTGACCATATATTTATTTTTCAAATCAGAAGACAGCAAAAAGCAGTGCAACTTCACTCATGCAAGATGCTTCTTACCTCAAAGTAAGATTTAGATGAATTCAAGGAGGGCTGTGGTTTCAAAGACCTAAAGGCTAGAATAAAACAAATGTAATATTTTTAAAGTGCTCACACAATAAAATGCAAACATTTTATCATTCTTTTTATTTAAGACCCGCTTAGCATGCATTTCCTCTGCAAAATACCCTGTAAAACAAGCAAGCAAAACCCCCCAAAACACCAACCAAAACATCAGTTAAGCCTTTGCCCAGGGATCTAACCCTCTGTGCAGCAGCAGGTGCTTCCTAGTAGTCTGGCTGAAAAACCTTCAGTAACTTTGGTTAAGAGGAAGAGAGAAATATTACCATAATTGATATTCCTTTATGTCTAACAGTTTAGACATCAACACAACTGCTAAAATTTATTTCTCTGCAGTATATTAGGTCATTTGCTGACCAATTTAAAATTTAGGTGATTTGTTGATTAATTTAAAGCTCACTCTACCTTTGGGTATTTTTTGTGGGATTCATTTATAGGTTTGTGATCATTATCTTTTTCTTTAATGCTCAGATTACCTATGCTGTCTCCTCAGAGACTGTCCTCTGCAGCAAGGAAGGGCTACTCTCACATATGCGGCTTAAATCACAGAGAAGTTTCTCTTCCCTGGTAAAAACTGGAATTTCTGAAACTTGCAACAAGGTAACACCAAGTGGCTTTGCATTAAAGCTTACTGACTTGTAAACATCAGTCACCTTTAATCTTTTTATCCGCTGAGGAATATTCTGCATAAAACAGGTGTTATTAAGTCACATCCTGTATGCCTATTCCTTAAGGAACTGCATATAGTAAGATGTTCCCTATTTCCAGTTCTAGTCAGAAGTTCCCGACACATTTCATTTTACTCCATGACAGTGGAACATCACTATTCTTTTTTCCCCCCCCTCCATTTTTCTTTCTCTCATCACTGTTTGTTATTCTATTTCATCAGAACTAAAAGAATCTCTCACAGCTGAATTGGACTAATAGAAATAAAGGCAGTTAAGGCACTTCATCATTAAATAAACACCTCCATTACAATTTGAGAGAGCAGATTAGAGTAATGGACAGATTGAAGGCCTACCATCGATGATAGACGTACTCTTGGCAGGCACAGATACAGGCTTGTAGGTTCTGCTGCTAGTAGCTGACCCTTGGCTAGTGCTCCCTGTAGGGATAATAAACAATATGCAAATCTGTTCAGTGGTTACTTTTTTCCCCCCTTTAGTCTATCATTACTGAATAGGAAGTCACTTAGAAACCTCAATTCCTCTTTACTCCTTCACTTTCTTCCATGAATCAAAGCCTTACACGCATATATGCTCCTTATGCGGAGAAGAACTGCTCTGGGTCAAGCGTTCAAAGCTCCACAGACACAGCCTCCTAGCACACATGCCCTTGCTCCGACGGGATCACAGCAGTGTTGGAGCACGTGCTCACAAAACTAGTTTAAAGGCACAAGCCAGTCCTAACACAACTGCCTTTGTTTCAACTCATCCTGCTCCTAGACCTTGGGCATATTACTGAGACAACTCGAAGGAGTATATTACTGCAAGACCCCACCTTTTCTTTTTTTACTTATATATGTATTTATATGCATTGGAAGTACTGCTATTACTGTAATGCGCGCAATCACACATAGCCAAGGAGCTATGTAATTCATTTTGCTTAGGAAACACTCTCCATTTTCTCAGTCACTAGAAATAATGAAGTCTCTTGTAAATCGCATTAAGATAATCTCTACCTCCTCTATATACTGATCAAATGCATTACCTTTAGCAGTAACAAAGGTTTATCCATGCACTTCATTGCACAGACCTTCCCAATAATGCATCTTTTAAGAGTCAACTGTATTTCCATAGCTGAGAAGCAAGATATTTTTCTTTTAATCACCCTGTGAAAAAGTCACAACTTAAGCCTTGTAAGGCAATCAACTGTATGTAATATGATACCAAAAATATTTCTGAGTAATTTTTTTTTCTAGCAGGAGTCCTTAAGCAACAAATTTCCACTTGATGGAAGCATCAGAAAAGAGTTGGCTTTTAAACAAAAAAGAAGTCAGTAACTACAGTAAAAAAAATGTGAAGGTTTTCTTACCTCTTCCCCTTTGAGATGAACCTCTTGCTGTTGAATTTTGTCCTCTTGCACCCCTTGCCCTACCTCTTGCCCGACCCCTTCCTCGGCTCAGTGTTGCAGGAAGACCGTCATCTGAATCACCAGTGCCTCTCAGCCCCGTATCTATGAGTTCTTCATCACTGGAGGCTGCGACAAGAATTGCATCCTCAGATCTGTGGGCTCTAGCCCTGGTTATTGCCTGAAAAGGAACAATAAGTGCCATAGGAAAAAGAATCTTAAATTATTAAGTGCACTAGTGTTAAACCCTAGTTGTGATATATAGCTCTAAACCACTGAGGCTTAGAAGACCCAAATCCACAGCGTTATGGAAGGCAAGGAAGTCTGTCAAAAAGCAGGGACAGTATCTAGTCTGCTTAATTTAGATGTGTACCTACAAAGTAATTAGCTAAGCTCTGATAACAGAATGGAGCTAGTTAATATGATACATTGTCAGTGGAGTTTGGTGAAGAGTTCAGGTTGTCCTGTGTCAGCTGTGTACATCCGCTCTGAGGAAGCACCCTCTGGGCTCCATTGAGTTGATCTGCATTGATGACAGCGGGTGCTTAAGACAACTAGGTAGTGTGAAAATATCCCAGATTAAGAGAACTGAATCTCACCCCAGGTGTCCTTTTCCTCCCAATTTCATTCCAGTCCCACATAGCTTGCAAAGACAAAGGAGCACCAATGCTGCCAATGGTTGACAATTCTCTTTGGAAAGACATATGCAATCTAGAATCTCTGGGAAGTCTAAGACTCTAAGATTGCCAGTGAGGATAATCGTACTTAAAGGTTTACCAATTATACCAACTTGTTCCAGTAGTATCACTCAGTACAGCCCATCCACACATCCACTGGTGACTGGATCACAAATAGTTTAAGCTGACAGATCTCTGAAGGTCACCTGCTCAGTCTAACCTCAGTTTAAAGCATGAACGACTGAACATTCAGGTTCACAAATTTGCACAAGAAAAGAGATCTCAAAAGCCAAATCAAGCAGCAGCTTAGGCACATATTATACCAAGGAAGATTTAAAAAGGACTTACTAATCTTCCCTAGGCAGACAGGCACTTTTTGTCAAGGACAAGTATTGCTAGGTGACTTCATTCATATGCAGAAGTCACCATTCCATTCTTCAGCCTATGTTCAAAATTCAAAGGAGTTACCTCACGAACTTCCTCATCCTCTTCTTCGGTGTTCTTTTTTCTACTCTCCCTGAACTTTCGCACCTGAATAGAAAAAGAATTCCCATCTAAATAACAGTTAATTTCACACAATAATAAAAACACAGTAAGAAGTCTTGATCACTGAATTACTAATTCATGCTCATGTGAGAGGCAAAGAGGAGTGCAAGAATAACTGAACAGTTTGTTTAGAGCCTTTTATGCTGTCCTACAGTTTAAGAATCTCACATTCTATTAATAACTGGAGCTACATCACAAGGGAGGAAAAAAGCTTGGGACATGATGAAAAGTACGAGATACTATGTTCAGTGGAAGGAGAGTATGCGTAACTTGACAATAAGCGACAGTGAAGCGTGAGCACCAGCAAGTGCTCAAGCCAGACTGCCCAAGTAAAAGAAGGCAAAGACTGGGAGAATGAAGAACCATCTACTATAAGAGAAGATCAGGTTCGAGACCATCTAAGGAACCTGAAGGTGCACAAGTCCATGGGACTTGATGAGATGCACCTGCAGGTCCTGGGGGAACTGGTGGATGAAATTGCTAAGCCATTATCCATCATAGCTGAGAAGCCGTGGCAGTCCAGTGAAGTTCCCATAGACTGGAAAAGGAGAAACATAACCCCCATTTCTAAAAAGGAAAAAAGGAAGACCCGGGAAACTACAGCCCAGTCAGTCTCTGCACCCAGCAAGATCATGGAGCAGATCCTCCTGGAAACTATGCTAAGGCACACAGCAAACAAAGAGGTGATTGGTGACAGCCAACATGGCTTCACTAAGGGCAAATTGTGCCTGCCAAATTTGGTGGCCTTCTATGACAGGGCTACAGCGTTGGTGGATAAGGGAAGAGCAACTGATGTCATCTACCTGGACTTGTGCAAAGCATTGGACACTGTCCTACATGACATCCTTGTCTCTAAATTGGAGAGACATGGATTTGACAGATGGACCACGTGATGAATAAAGAATTGGCCGCATGGTTGCATGCAAAGAGTTGTGGTCAACAGCTTGATGTCCAAGTGGAGACCAGTGACAAATGGCACTCTTCAGGAGTTGGAATTGGGACCAGCGCTGTTTAGTATCTGTCTGCAACATGGACAGTGGGATCAAATGCACCCTCAGCAAGTCTGCTGATGACACCAAGCTGTGTGCTGTGGTTGACACGCTGGAGGGAAGGGATGCCGTCCAGAGGGACAAGCTTGAGAGATGGGCCTGTGTGAATCTCATGAAGTTCAACAAGGCCAAGTGCAAGGTCCTGCACATAGGTTGAGGCAACCCCTGGTAATGATACAGGCTGAGTGGAGAATGGATTGAGAGCAGCCCAGAGGAAAAGGACTTGGGGGTGTTGGTTGATGAGAAGCTCAGCATGACCCAGCAGTGTGCGCTTGCAGCCCACAAAGCCAACTCTGTATCCTGGGCTGCATCAAAAGAAGGGTGGCCAGCAGGTCGAGGGAGATGATTCTGCCCCTCTATTCCACTCTGCGTTCAGCTCTGGGGCCCCCAGCATAAGAAGAACATGGACCTGTTGGAGGAAGTCCAGAGGAGGGCCATGAAGATGATCAGAGGGCTAGAGCACCTCTGCTATGAAGACAGGCTGAGAGAGTTGGGCTTGTTCAGCCTGGAGAAGAGAAGGCTCCAGGAAGACCTTATAGCAGCCTTCCAGTACTTGAAGGGGGCCTACAAGCATGCTGGAGAGGGACTTTTTACAAGGGCATGTAGTGCTAGGACAAGGGATAATGGCTTTAAACTGAAAGAGGGTAGATTTAGATTAGATATAAGGAAGAAAGTCTTCACTGTTGAGGCTGCCCCCTCCCTGGAAGTGTTCAAGGCTAGGTTGGACAGGGCTTTGAGCAACCTGGTATAGTGGAAGGTGTCCCTGACTGTGGCAGGTTGTTGGAAATAGATGATCTTTAAGGCCCCTTCCAACCCAAACCATTCTATGAGTCTAAGGAACGAAGGGGCAGAGATGAAGAACCAAGATAGAAAACAACAATAGTTGAGGCTGCCCCCTCCCTGGAAGTGTTCAAGGCTAGGTTGGACAGGGCTTTGAGCAACCTGGTATAGTGGAAGGTGTCCCTGACTGTGGCAGGTTGTTGGAAATAGATGATCTTTAAGGCCCCTTCCAACCCAAACCATTCTATGAGTCTAAGGAACGAAGGGGCAGAGATGAAGAACCAAGATAGAAAACAACAATACTGAGAAGAGATAAACGTTGTAATGTATGTACAACTCAGAAAGCTCAACTTTTCAAATATGGGAAAAGGTATGATGGGTGAGAAGAAAAGAAGATATTAATCCAAAAGACAAACAAACAAACAAAAAATCCAAAGCAGTACAGAGAGCCTACGGGCACTGATTGTTTATGGTCTCTTTCAACCCCTTGTGAATTAAAGCAATCAGCAAGAAAACAGGCAAATGCAACCTTCATCCCCCCCACTAAATTATTCTTTACATGGTGCACAGTTAAGCTGTAGAACAACTTGTCATACAATCCTTAAATATTACAACTGAATTCATGGGCTCATGCAGAAGCTCAACAAATTGACAGAGAAGTCTATTAAGGGTTACTAGATACACATAAACCAGGTTTGTCTCTGGGAGACCTTGAGCTGCAAGCAGTTAGAAGCTAGTAGAGCACCTGAAGTGTACGTTTCCTATATGCTTGCCTTGCTCTTGTATTCTTCCTTAAGCCAATATGAAAAAGCTAAGAAGAGATTATATCTGCCATCTTTCCCACAGGAGAGAGAGAGAGAGAGAGTTCTAAATATATTAGAGGGACAAAATTTTTCTGTCCATGTGTGTGCAAATAAAATGAGAATCAGTATAAGCACACCTAACCCCTATTTTCAATACAAGCTCTTAAACTATGTATTTGAAACTGCATCACCATATTGATTAATTCCAGAAAATGACTAGAGGCAAGTGTTGAACATGCTCCACACACAGGCAAATCGATTAAACCAGGTTTGAGCACTGCTTTTTCTACTGTCTTGACTTAAGGAATTAACATTAACAGAATATTACCTCCTCATCTATTTTTTCTTCCTCTGCATCAGTGCGACGCTCCTTAAGAAACCTTTGTGTTTTTTCTAGTTGAAATTTCACCAACTCTTCTATGGCATCTTTTTCCTCTTTGTCCACAAACTCCTGCACTGCTTCTCCCATTCCTCTTTCGGTTAGAAGTGAAAGCTGTGCTTTCTTAATAATTGGGGAAAACATTTTGTTAAGAAGCATCTGCCATCAAAGAAAGCAAGTAATATTCCTGCTGTTTCAGATAAATATTACATTAAGTTGGTTCCAAAAACAGTAACATGCATTGAAGATTTCAATCAGAGAAAAGCAGAGTGATAAGCAAACATGTTACTCATCATAATACAGTTACTACCCTTTTGCTATTAGCATGTTACATCTACTTAACAGTATTTTCCAAACTCAAACAAGAAAAAAAGTTTCACAAACAGTAAAGAAACTACAGTGCTACTCATATCTAAAACAATTAGTCTGAAATGTATCGCTGAGAGAGAAGGTAAGCTGTGTTCTTCCCTAGTTCCCTCCCTTGTTTAAACTAGTTAAGATCAACTTGCAAAGACATAAAAACGCTATTTAACACAGGCCCTGAATTATTACAGGAGCTAAATTACTTAATTTTACCATAAAATTCTAACATTAAAAAAATGGCAGTTATAGAGCAGGGCAAATTATTATTATGAAGTATTAAGAGCCATTAAGCAGAAGTCTATTGAAATGCGATTCTGTAAGTAGCAATAGTTCTCACATGTTCATCAAGTGAGATGATATTCATCAAGGTATTCTACATTAAGATATTACTAGGGGCACTAATTAGTAAAAGTAGTAGATGCTACTGGTGGTGTTTTGCAGCCATTCTCTTCTCTACCCTCCTTCCCAATACAGTAAGAAGAGACATTCTGAGAATGAAAGCCCCATATGGACAGTAATGTTTAAATAGCAGCCTCTTTTGTCTGTAAACTACAGCACAGATAATTTCTTAGTAATAAGTATTATATATGCTTATTAATGATTTTTGATCCTCCCAGGTGTCCTTTAGGAACTGTTTTGAGGGTTACATCGGAAGCATAAAACCTTCCTTGAAATAATGCTGTGCAGAGGAATAAATTTTACAGCTATTATAAAGTAAGTTTACAAAAGAGTAAGATAAGCATCTCAAAAGAGTGACTGATTGTACTGATGCAGAGCGTTCATATTGACTTCCAGCAATTAAGCGTTCTTCCAAAGGAAAAAAATAAAAAGCTTGCTAAAGAGACAAATAGCAGTGATTTTAATTCCTAGGCCTCAGCTTACCAGCAACACTGGAACTGAACAGAGTCTGGTATGTGTTAGACATTTTTGGTCTAACATTTTTTGAGCATCCAACTGCAACCCTGTGCCACCTCAGGGTCCAAGGACTCTTTTGTTTCCCTAATCAGACAAGATCAGGTGTCTAGCAAAGCCTGAAGCACAAGCTATCTTAACACAGTGTTTGAGATCCCTATCATCATTTTGGGGCACAATATGCTTTTCTCCCCTCTTTCTTTCATTACCAGTGTTAACTTAGAAGATACTATCCCCCTACTGCAAGCCTTCCCAGAACGGCAATGGTTTCTTTCAAGTCTCCACAGATGTTGAGCTGCTTTAGCAGGGACCAGTAACTGAGCTGTTAATATAATAATACACAAACAAGTTGGGAAGATGGTGTAAAAGGGACAATTCTGCAAAATAGAATCATAGAATGTTTTGGGTTGGAAGGGACCTCTAGAGGTCAAAATAAGGGAGGAAAAGAGATTAAAAGCAAAATTTGTTTTTCATAGAATAATACAGTGCCCTATCTTTGACACTGCTCCCCCTCCCTGTGGGATTTAGGGGTGGCATACATTTGAAAAAGTACCTACTTCTGAACTAGTCACCCTGGGCTCCCTACAACATTCAGAAGGCAAACAGCCCTTCTAGGGCATAATTTATGCCATCCTAATACTGACACCTAACATGTGTCTAAGGTTAGGCAAGACGATATAATTTGGGGGATCTTTACCTCAGGAGGCCTTGCTCTAATGTCTTTCTATAAAACATGTTCTGAAGTAGCTTCTGAAAGTTATGCTTGATCATCTGGATCAAGCATTTGGGAGTTTGACTCACTGATTATTATTCTTTCCCTCTGAGACGTTACTGCCATGGTGTTGGGAAAGGTAGATAAATCAAATTTAATGAAAGGGTGATGAGAAAGCAAACTACTGGGGAGCTCTCTTCCTTCTCCCTGCTCGGCTTTAAATATAATGTGGAATTGCACTATGTCTGAGGACACAAATATGCTATGAAGTGACAAGTTACTCCAGGTCAGCTGGTAATAGTAAATGGTACAGTCCCACATTGACCCTATAGTAAATTAAGGTAGCTTCTCACTGGGAGCATGCTGCCTCACATCTTCCTCCTGTAAGAACGTGACGCATTTAGTACAGGGCAGACACTGCAAGTTCACATGAAGAGCTATCATAAAGTTCTCAAACCAGCATGTGTTCACATACCCTGCACAAACCTATATACAACAGTTACTTGTTAACCTAAAAGATATACTTCATACAGTAATTCACATACAGTTATGTAGGAAATAAATTCACTTCTTGGTGAACAGCAGAGTCTTTTCAGGGTACGCTACTTCCATTAAGAAAGCAAAAAAGATAAAAATATTATATTCCTTAAAAAAAACAGAACAAAACAAAACACCCAACATAAAAGGTAGAAAGATACCTTCTCCGCTGTCTGAAAATACTGCTTTACAAGGTCTTCCACCCTCAGTGTCATCCCCTCAGAAGCAGGTCTGCTAACCAGTTTTCCAAAATTCAGATCACTGTCTAGAATAAAAAAGCACAGTGGCATTTGTCACCCAGATTCGCAGCTTTTAATTATTGTAAAAGAAAAGGTTAATATAGGCCTCTTAAGAATTGTGGTGCCCTTTATATGTAAAGATTATTGTTCTAACTGTAGAGTCTATTGTCTGGAAACACCGGAAAATGGAAGCAATAATTGTACAAGACAACTCCACTTCTAGCAGGTACAAAGTGTTCTTTTAACTATCAAATGTCTGGAATTATAAATTGAACACTGTGTCCTAAAGGTTATTATACCTGAACGCTAGAAGATCACAAATGGAATAAAATCAGAAGACCCATCCAAGCACAAGAGGTTTTTTATAAGGAACTCTGTTACTAGAGAAGAAATTTTCCTCCAAAGCATGCCGGCTGATTTCAAGTAGAAAATGTTCATAGCTCATTAAGGCTGCCCCCCATTCTCGGGCAGCCAGATAGGAATGACAGAAGAACAAAAGGGATAATGAACTGAGGTTACCACATACCACACAAAGTAATACAAAGTGACCACAGACTGCTTCCAGACATCTGCCACATGTAAGCACAAAGCAGAAGCAGCTATGACAAAAGAAACAACAACTTCTGAAGTCGTGAAGTCTTAACATCACCTGTACTGAACCACAGCATTGTGCACACATGTACTGAAAATTTTGACTGCTTCATTAGCCACCTGCCTTGTATTAGAGGATATTTAATAAAGCAATGCAAAGAACCACGGTATTCTTTTTGCATTCACTTCCTGAAGCAGAGATGCATGTTAAGCAGGAAATTTAAAATGTATTGATGAAACAGGGTGATAGATGCGGTAGCTGTCTTGTACTCCAAAAACGTTAATGAGATTACACAACTATTAAAAAAAACAACAAAGCAAAATAAAACAAGATCAATACAGCATAATTAAAAAAAACTCACTAAAAGCAGTTTTGATTGATGAAACATGATGTTTTGAACTTTATAAAATTGACAGTATAAGTAAAAAATGTCAATGGAACTGGAGTACTTAAAATGCACTAATGTGAAATATTAACAGTTCGTTAGCAGAGTATGTTCTTGTGCAAGCTGTATATTCATTAGCGACTATTACAAATCCAGTATTTGGGCAAGATCTATTAGCCATTTATTAAAAATTCTAGGCACAGTGAGAAATGCTACAATAGTAACAGCTATTATTTGTTTTACACAAATGCTTGAATAGAGACATACCTGGAACAGACAAGCCAAGAGCACCTCATACACATGATTAATTAGGGCAAACAAAATGCTGTCACACATTCGGACCTTTTTTTTTTTTAAAATATACAAACATCTCTCAAGCCCATCCCCTTCAGTACTATTTTAGGTATAAACAAATTAATTACTACAGCAATAAAATCAAAAAACAAAGAGAAAAAGCACAAGACCCGTCTCTTTTCCTGCAGAGTGCCCAAAACCAACCACTTCATTCTGAGAAGTCTCAGGAGCAAGATGTTTAATGCATTTCATGGTAATTATCATCAGGTCATGGAGTGACTCAGTCTGGTATAGGGCTATATGTACTACTATAAGCAACTCAGTAAGGTCTGAGGCCAAAGAAAAAAGAATTATTTACAAGTAACTGTCAGAAGATGCTGTGCTGAATATCAGAATTTTAGATAAACTCAAAAATTAGAACAGAAACACTTCAATGAGACTATGCATCTTTACTCCTCCTACAACACATTAGATGGTAGACACCAAGCCTTTGCAAGTGCTGGGTAACAAAATAAGGAAGAAGACTGAAACCCAAGGCAAGCCAATGATCTTTCCTTTATAATTACCATTTTTCTCCTTTTGTTCACGATGCCTGAAAAAGTATATGATGTCTTTTGGGTTAGCCACCCTATCCACATACTTCTGGCTAAAACGATGGACACTGAATGGTTCAAAGCCACCTGCATAATCAACCTAAGAGAGGAAAAGAAAATTTTAACTATAAAACAAAAAGAAATAGAGAAGGCACAAAAATCAAGGTGTGTTGGAAAAATTAAAGCAAAACAGTAAATCAACCTAAAATTAATGCTGTACCATACTATGCAGAACAGCTGATGGATAGTAATAGCTAATAATAATATTAATAGAATAGCTAATAACAGCCCAGACTCATAACTTGTTCCTAACTTGTTTCATTTACTAGCCTTCAGGAAAGTTTCCATAAATTAAGTTAGAAACAAACGCAGGATAATATGACTCAAGAAAAACTTCTCTGTAAATAGCCACTTGTGATGCTCTCACTCAGACCAGCAGTGAAGTACACGTATGACCAATTTCATCCTTTACTGTGGAATACTAGTTATACCACAGGTAAACAGAATCATGGTATGAAGGTGATTTATATTTTCCTGTACACATTAAGAAATTTTACATATTATGTGTTTAAACAAAAAGCATAAATTTGCTTTGAAACTTTTCACGGTGATCTTTCAAAGCAAAGCAATCCAACCTGAACAATTCCTTACTCGTAATCTTATGAGAGGTTTCTCTGGCTGGCGAGGATTTCCCAAGCGTTCTCTTTCCGCGTTGTCCAGCATCAATTCAACCTGTAAAGCAGAATTAGAAATTCAGTTCCACTTCGTTCTCTTACAGATGCCTGAACCCTTCAAATACAACTTAAAATACATCCAGCTGCAGGGGGGAACTATAAAAAGAAATTATTATAGGATGAGCTCTCATTCCTGAACACACATATGTACCAGTATCCAGCCAAAAGCCGTAAGAACTAATGAGAAAAAAAGTCACAGTGAAAGGCTTCTCTTTGAGAGCTAGCGTAATCCAGCAGTATCTACATCACTGATCACTTGTACTATTTTACTTTATAGCAATTATCCTTTGCTAAATTTCTAGTTCCAGGGAAAAGCAGAAAGAGACTCATACAGACCTAAGAACCAAGTGCAATTAATAACCTGCTTAGTTACCTCTCCCATTTCACACTGCACAGCCTAGCTCTCGGGGTTTAGATGTGTCTATGCTGGTTCCAAACTGCCCATCCAACACTGCCCCACGCTTGGGCGGGAGTTTTTGTACAAAGATGATATGGATCCCCATAAAGTGGTTCCAGCCTACTTTAGTAGGTCATCCCAGTCAAGGAACCTGGAAGCCAAGGCTGCAGTGAATGTCACAGAATTAGCTTCCTATGGAAACGCTGCCCAAGTCCGTCTCAAATAATATGGGGCAAGACACAAGATTTCTCATCTTCCAGTCTCAAAATCAGTCACAGGTGGCATTCCCTGTCCATACACTGTTATCCATATTCCGTTAGCATTGCAAGTTACCTTTTCCATGCAGAATGCTTGTATTGCCTGAGTTACTTTAGGATTGTCAGGATTAAAAAGATCTGGATGATCAGCCAGAACAATATCCTCCATGTAGAAAGTCCTCACTGTCTCTAGAGCAATCTTCTGCATTTTCATTTTTTTCCCTTTAACATGCAGCAAACCAATGTGTCTAGAAGGAGAAAGGTAACTTAATAGAAGATAAGACAACTATGGTATAAAGATTTGTTTTAAATTCATGTTTACTTTTCAGGAACAAAAGTTTAAAAGCTATAGGAAGTTCTTGGATCTGTACTTCAGGGTTGGGACTGCCAAACTTCAGTTCTATTATATTTAGATTGTGCTTGTTCCATACACAAGCACATGTACACAGTTCCTTGTATTCCAGTTTATCAGGGTGTAACTCCTCTTAGGTAAGTTCCATGTGCTTTTAATGTTAAGTTTAGTCCTAAGTAAAGCAAAAGTTATTCTAGGTGCTGATTCCATCTGCTTCATTTGTTATGTCACACACTGAAGCTAATCCACACTATAACATAAGTCCTTTCATACTTGATAAAAGTATTTTTCCTTTCTAAACACAACACAGTAGAAACATAAGCCAAGGGATAAATAAGATCAAAAATAAAAGATCACACACTTCTTCACAGCTTCTCCAGGGGACAGAGATGTCACCACTGAACTTCCTGGCTGAGAAACGTAGAAACGTTGCTGTTCATTCTGGGATGGAGCTATTTTGCACTCATGTTCATGACCCCACACAACAAGATTAATAAAGTCATCTAAAAACTGCTCTGGAATGTAGTTGGTAGCTCCATGTTTGCTCCTGTTCAAGAAAAGAGAAAAATAATTAGAATGTGAACAGTCATGGGCGGGCAAGGGGAGAGTGAAGGAAGAGAAAATCAGTGTGATTTAAAGTGATACAGAAACTCCAGCAAAAATATCTGATGTACATTTCATATCAGGTACTCTTCACGTTTATTCCTTATGCAATTGTTTAAAGTGTTTGGTTAAACAAATAGGCAACTTACACAGCTCATTCTTTTCTGCTCCCCTCTTTTTATTTGGATCTCCCTTTTCTTCTTGCTTGGCTTGTAAGACTTTACGGTTTTTTCGATATGAATGCTTTTATAGCACCTCATGGCCTTTTCGGGGATTTTTTTTTGGTTTGTTTTTTTAAATGATGGGGTAAAAACCACTGAATTAAACAGACATGGAACACACCACTCCCCACCCCTTTCCAGAAGGCAGAGGAGATGGAGGAGGAGTGAGCTCTTTCAGCCTGCTGGACAGAGATCAGTACACAAGAGTTATCTGAACTATATTTGTTTACTCCTGCCTCACCATTACTTGCACATGAGGATTGCACTCTCATTCAGGAAAAACTGTAAGAAAGGATTTGGAAACGAACTCTGCCTGTTCCTACTACCACTGCTAGGAGAAGTATGTAGGCAGAAAGAACACACACTACCTATCCTCTGTTCAAGAGGAACTGTTAAGTACAGCAGGGCAAGTGAAGATATGGTACTTGTCAAACTACAGTTCAAACAAGGATAGAAAATACAATATGGAGTCTAATGCCCTTTCAGCTATAACAAGCAGGCAAGACTTAATTATGTGCAAATGACACTACAAACCCTCCACTGCCCCTAACTGTAAGAGTTTGGGAAGAGATTTCCCAACATTCCTAACTCATTTATTTCAACTCTTTTATTTTATAATTCTTCTGTATGAAGAGCTATAGAACACTGCTTTCATTTGGGAAAATCTTAAGAAACCGCCTACTCAGAAGAAGCAGCAACTAGCCCAGCTTCTTTATCACCTAATCCTTTCCAATGAAGTAACACGGTAAGTTTAAAAGTCACCATAATTCATTCAATACTGTTACCTATTTTGATGAATCACAAACAAGTTAAACCAACTATCTTCATCTTCCCTTGGTCTCAGCATAGTTACTTTTTTATTGACAAACATACGATACAACCTCTCATCTGGAATAGCTCCTGGAATGGACAAAACAAAACATTAAATCATTTTTGCGTGGTAAACCAATTATTTATTTTATAGCATTTTTATTAGCAACTCTATTAAAAAGAGAGTAAAGAACACAACTTTGTAGCAAGATCAGATCTTCATTTTCATGACCTAAAAAATCTGAGGCGTGATTATGAATTTGAACAGATGGAAGTATAAATTGGCTATTTTACTAAATAGACTTCTGAAAATAAGACATTTTAACATGAAATCTACCTTTAAACAACTGCTAAAAGCAGTTTCAATAACTACACCTGTTTTGAGACCTCTTCCCAGTTTTCTGTGCAAAACAACAGACTATGGGCAGAATTAAAAATATTAGAAGAGGTGTTGTTTTTCTTGTTGGCAGAGTAAGAAGTATATTTTGTTGTAAGCTGGCGTCTAAAAACACGTACTACTGAGTAGAGATGGAGTTCTCAAACATACTTTGAAATTCTCTACAAAACAAGAAGTAAACCATGAATTCTGCAAAGTCTATGCTTTCCCACACAGCAGGAAAAAGTCTGCAGTACTTCTGGACAGTCTGTCACTGATTATTTCCTTGATGTTTTTAACAAGGAAAAAAACCCAAAACCATTCATACCCAGGGTTTGTGATACATTTCAATAAAATCCTACATGGAGTTTACATATTTTGTATAAGAACAAGTGCTTTCTAAATCAGAGAAAGTCAAGAGGGTATATAATCCTGGCACAAGCTTAAAGAAACATCTCATCAACATTTTCATGCAGTAACACCCGTGCTTCAGAAAGTTGTTGTGTTTCCCAGTAATGATTTTGGGTATTAAAAATCCAAATGCTGTCTGAAAACTTTTATATTGTGGCATTAGAACCCTCACTACCAACCCTTAGAAAACCTAGCAAGCTTTTAAAGTATCTCATTAAACACATGAAATCATGGCCAACTAGGACTTAACCTATAGCTATAAAAGTTGCTTGGAAATAAGTGTTTAAGCACTCATGACTGGACACAAAATAAGGGGAAAAAATAAGATCTTAATAGTTAACTTCTTGAGACAGAAAATAGTCAAACATAACCACTCTAAGTAAGAAGTGAGGGTAGAGGGGAAGGTAGAGGACAAAATAGACAGGGACAAACTGAAGTTGAAAACCTACCATAGAGCACCTTTAAAAAACTCTTCGTAAGTTTCTTTAAAGAAACTGAGGTTACCCGTGATGGATGTTACTTATAAACCACTTCAGACACACATGTCAGGCATTAGGTTTCTGCTCAGACAGTTCACATTTTTGAATATAATCAAAATGGCATGTGACCGTACAGTGTTTAAATTTTACCTAAGCAGGCAGAAGTAACCTTAATACACAACAGTGAGAATTTGAAGTGTGATGCCCTGACTTGATACACGGACACTATCTATGGCTAACTTAAGCAATAACTTAAGTTATTGAAGGATTTATTTTATAATTTAAAAAAAAGCAAAGAAAAAAAACCCCTGTCAGCCAGTGACAAGGCAGCAGGAGGAGAAACCTGATGCTGTCACAGAATTGATATGCTTTAATTTAGCATTACTTAGACCTATATGCTTATTGCAACTTAATTTAGACCTAATGAGTTTCAGTAACACATGAACAGTTCAGCCACAGTCTGGCAGACTAATACTTACTTACCCAAGCCGTACAGAGCAATTTTTGTTCTACCCTTACGCAATAAAATGGGACTAATATCTATTTTCTCCACGGAAGTCGAACGTCCAAAGTGATTCAACAGTCCTGCACAGCTTAAAATATCCAATGCACACAGTGCATCTGCCTGTAGAAAAGATTAAGAAACAAATATAAAAACTTGAACACAGCATTTAAAGTCTAAGTGAAACAGTCTCAAAAGGGAGAGTACCTTTCCTTAAGTAACTTCTGCAGTTGAAAAATCCCACCACATATATTAACTTTTTTTTTTTAGTACTCATGAGTACAGAAGCAAATCCATTTTCCTTACAAGTCTTGCTTCATTTGAACAACACGAAACTAAACCATTGAGAAAAACAAAACCCCAAACAGCCAAAGTCTCTAAACTACTACAGAAAATTACCTGGTTAAGCTAACTACTTTATAGTAGGTCCAAAGTTAAACTTGTTGTTAAAACACTCATCTCCATGATACACTGCTATTTTGATATAAAATGCAAAATTATTAATTCAACACATGTGGTTTGCTGCTTTCTAAATGTCCTTTTCCTGCTTGCTTTTAGTTTTTGATTTTTAAACTAGCATTTCATCATTATTAATTTTCCTTGAAAATATAAGATGCACATAAACTGCATATGCACAAGCCAAAGTATCAAAATTCCCCTTCTTTAAGAAAAAAGCTTTCAATCCCTACAGACAGAATTTGTTTTAGAAACTTTCTGAAAGGCTGCCATTTCTTGGCATGAAAAGTGATTCTGTTCTCAGTGACAGAAATCTACATCAACTAAGAATTTAAACATAGTTCATATGGAACCCTTAACTTCTTTCCAGTCTCTTTTTTTTTAATGTCACACTTAACTTGTCACTAATTAACAGAATTCCTAGAGATGCACAAAATACTTATGTGAAGAGTGGAGCAACTGACTAAAACTAGCCTGTTCTCCAAGAACTATTTCTACACAATTCTCTATTTCTATAATATTATTTTTTCAGTATAACAGTATAGTACAATTGTGATAATAATTACCCCTGTGGGATCATCGTGATTGCCATGAATACTAAAAATTGGAATAGAAATGTTGAGATTTTCATCCTGGTAATTCACCCATGGAAACCTGACCAAGAAGAGGGAAAATAAAGTTAAACTATGACTGCAAATTTGTGGGCAATTCCCAATATTCTCTTCAAATTAATGTCATCACAAATACATCATGACAGCAGCACAAATGAGTACTAAGTGGCTATGAATAAGCTTAAGCTACACAGTGCTAGAAGATTCTTACTCTTGGACTGGAATGGCACTTCCCACTGGGAACAGGGCAGCAAAAAGATCCTATTTTTTTAGAGCAATCCTACGAAAAGAACTGTACATGTTGTGTGGCATGTGCAAGAGCAGCGCACTGGGCTCTGCAACCTTTGTCTACACACAAAGAACTCTGCCGTTTTTACCACAGCAATTCATATAAATTGGTTTACTTGCATTGTACTTGCAGGACAGAAACGATATATTACATAAATGTATCAAATGTCACAACACGTTCAGAAGTTTCTCACAAAACTGTGTGCATTCCTTTACGGACTTCGATTACACAAGATGGTAAGTGAAGTCATCCTGTAAACTGTCGCACACGAACAGGCCTAAAACTTCAAGGTTGCAGTCACGGAGGATATAAATCATAAAAATCACAACACGTTCACCCAAGATGCAAACCAAACCTTACACCATATTTTATAGGAATGTACTTACTTGCTATAATGAAAATTAACTGCCTGATCACTCAAAATTTCAAACTGAACAGGACGATCACCCATGCAGTATTTTCTTAGAGACTCCAAACAAGAGTGTACTGTTTTTCTGGAAGGTTTGTTTTCATGAAAAAGGTCCCCACCTAACAAAACAAAGTCCACCTGCATGTAACAAAAAGCTCTATTATTTTAATACAACGTTTTGTATTACCTTGAAAGATTTCTAAGTAAGTTGTTTAAATTATTTCTTCTAAGGAATTCCACATATCTCCTCGTATCTGGACTTTAGGTAAAACAAGTTGGTAGTTGCAGACCCGGTATTTAATTTCCTCATGAAACAAATGTTAACTACATTATTCATTAAAACAAAACCAAATCCAAAAAGACCCTTTTGTGAAGAGCTACAGGAGAAAACAACTGACAGTGCTGAAAAAAAAGAAATACCAGTGAAGTGTTTTAATAAGGGTCTCCAGATTGGCTCCTGAACATTTTCTTTGAGAGGCATGAAGAGATACATTATCTTTTCATCGCTGTGGTACCTAGTGGGAAAAAATCAGTAGCTATCGCCACATTACTTTGAAAAGGCACTAGTTGCAGTTTCTGCATATATTTAGCTTTTAGAAAAGCATCGGGGGAAAAAAAAAGAAACCACCTTCATCAAAATTACAAATAATTTGATTAAGAAACATTCAATCCTTAAAAACAGAAACAACACTTTTAAAGTTTCTTTTTTTTCTACTTTCTGAGTCATCTGAAGACTTTGTGTCATTACCCTCACCCTCCCCAATTACCTTCCCTTCTTGCAGTGACAAACCCTCTCTAAATACCACTGGAACTGGTGCAGGCAATCTGAAAACACCGTTAATGCAATCAGGGTCATAATTTAATAAGAACGCTCTCGCAAAGGAATAGGTATTCCTTTTACAAAAACAGAAACGGAACTGGTTGCAATAAATAGTTTACTTTAGTCATTTAATTTGATATTGCTAAAGATTGCACGAGGACTAAGCTTAACAGCTTCTGGCACGTTGGGCACAGTCTCACTCCTTCACTTTCCAAGAAGCAGTACTTACTTCATTTTTTTGAGCATGGTCCAGAATTTCATTGAAAGTTACAAATGTATCATTTCCACGTACTGGATCCTTCTCCAAATAGCCAAGATGAATATCAGTAGCAATAAGTATTTTAAAGGTATCTTCATCATCCCTGAATAAGACAGGAAAATTTGTGTTAGCGAGTAACATAGTTAAGAATTTCAGCCACAGACTGTATTAAGGTAAGCTGTTCTGTCCAAAGTCATTAAATACAGAGGAGATTTGTTACAAAACTCTGTCAAAGTATCATTCCTGTAATATTCTCAAAACATTTCACTACTTTCATTGCAAACAGCTCTTCACCAAACCAATCAGTCTGAAGATTTGGTTATCCCAATCAGCCTACTCTAGAAAAGTGCTGCTATCACCTCTCTGAAGTAGCTAATGAAAAACAAAAGAATCCTTTGTATGTTTTCTGCCTTTAAAAAGACTCAGTGAACAAACATTAAATTTCTCTCTTTGCACTGGTAATCTGCATTGTATACGAAAGCGAGTATATGAGGATCAGAAGGACCCGAGGGAAAACACAAGTGATGATCCGAGTTCCAAACACACAAAGAGTTGCTGCCTGATGCGACAGAGCTGCACAGAGCCGCAGACAGCAGAAGCTTACTGTGAGTCGATGGTACTCATCTTCGTGCCAGGGCTCCTCGCGAAAAGGCTCTGGGCACAGCTCAGTAATCCCGGTCAGGAAGTCAGTTTCTATCTTCATAGATGCTACCTAAAGCCTAAGAAACAAAACAGAAACGAGTTAGAACGATGGGCGCAGCGAGCCGGACGGTCGGCTACCCAGCCTATTGCTGGTAATTGCTGCTTGCAAAGAACGACAGAGAAGGCAAGATCCGTGCTGGGGTGGTTTAACCATTTTCTGCCGCACAAGGCGCACGGCTGCCCCGCGGGGCGCGCCAGCCCCCTCACAGCGCCGCCCGGGAA